CAACCCTATCACCAATTAAATTTAAAATTTAAAACATTCCCACTATCTATTTCATAAACCGTTTATAGTTTGTTATTTATACTTTAAATCCTTTTTACTCCTTAATTAAAGACAAATGCTCATTCATATGCTATTTTAATACAATGTTACATTTTTATAATTAAGAAATATTTGTCACCACACTAACCCTATAACCACCCCTACAAATAAGCTTTGCAAATTACAATCACGTTTAAAAAAAATCACAAATGTGCAACTAAATGTAAAGTTGAGGAAAGTACAGCTAAATATAAAGTTAAGGGGTTTACTATATTTAACCCTAAAAAAATTCCAAGAACGTAACAAGTAGTGGATTATAGATTTTTGTATTTATTTTAATACATAAAAAGTAGTGGGTTATAACCAACTCTATCACCAGTCAAATTTAAAATTTAAAACTTTCACATAATCTACTTCATAAATCGTTTATAGTTTGTTATTTATACTTTAAATCCTTTTTACTCCTTAATTAAAGACAAATGCTCATTCACATGCTATTTTAATACAATTTTAATTCGCAAGCATATAACATGATCAAGAAATAGCAGAACCAATTAGGACTAGATTTTGACAAAAAAAAAAAAAATTAAACCTAGATGGCACTGGCACGTTGCCGTAACTTGCGATGCCAATTAGGACTATTTAGTACTTTTTTTTTTTCAAGGAGTTAGGACACTGTAAAGCTTATTTAGACAAACTTTGCCCCATCGGTAATTTGAATATTAAGTTATTGAATATACTACAAATTCTATAATATTAGTCTGCTACAAAAAAATAATATTTTACTAGCATGTGGTATTTGTGTACGAAATTTTAGAGGCAAATCAAATGCTTTTACTTATACTCTATACAATTTGAATGGTTTTTTAGCGAATATAATTATACTATGCAGGACCATCACTTTGTACAATTGGAGCTAGCAAATTGTATATCATCACAATTTAGATTTTGCTCGATACCTGCGCAGTTGGTGAGTTCTATCAGTAATACTACATCAAACTTTTAATGTTGTTTCATACTCTTCTCAACATGTATTTCAAAAAATTGTAGGTTTGAAAATGATACATGTGCTCGAAAGTTAGTTACATGGTTGATGTCAAGCAATTTTACAACATCACAAGCATTGTTGATAGCAAATTCAAAGAGAATATGAATATCCGAATATACAATCATGTGTACGGTAAACTTACTCTATTTAATTTAATTACTACATAAATTTTTTAAATTTATAATCATAACCTATACCTTCTTTCATTCTTACTAGGTTAAATATTTTCGAATACTTGTTTACATTCAGAGCATTAATATAGAAAACATGTTCAATGAGTTATACAAAAATTGTGGATAACTATGTGAAGGTCGTTTTTAAAAAATAGTGTGTATGCATTGTAATAATGTGGTCGACACTGTTGTTAGGTAATTAATTTCATGTACCTTTAATTTCAACAAATTTTTCTGTATTGTATATAACATTTTATTTGTCAAACAAGTACAATGTTAACATACAAATCAAAGATTCCAGTGGTAACATGCATCTTAATCTACAGGACAGACATGCACGATTCATATTTGATTGTAATGCTTCTTATCTCAGAGAATTACAAAGGAAGATAGAATTTCTGATATATGTTTATTTTTTATAATGCTATTTATAAATTATGTAAAAAAAAATACACTAATTTTGAATTTCGCACGTACTTAATTCTCAGGACAATGGTGATAGGTTGTTCAACCAAAGAATTAATTCATGCAAAGATCGTGCATTTTTATTTGTAGTACGCATTCCACAAAATTCAACAGAATTAATTAAATCACCAATTTTGGCTTTCGTACTAAAAGTTGATTGGTGTGAAGAGTGTTCACACCTTTATGCAAGATTATCAAATCGAATGCATAATATTTGTAAGTATTTTATTTTAACAATATTTAATTACATTCATTTTTATTCATATATCATTCATTTTCTAATATAAATTTCTATTATTTTTTCAGGATTTATCTTTCAAAAAATGGTAATTTTTGAATAATATACACATTCTATCATATTTCAAACTATTGTTAGACAGATATTATATTTTAATTGTGTTGGTACAATTTTTTAACCTTTTTTAATTTACCATTTTATTTTCATTTTTTAATAATGTTAGCTCTGTGCGTGGCACAGGTATTCACACTAGTATCAGAGTAAGATTCAAATTTGAACACTCAAAATATATAGCAAGTACAGCGACTTCCTTCTTCTCAGGGATAACTAGATAAAGAGATGTCACAATCTTCCAAAAAATTGGCTAAACACTAGGACTTTATTTGATAATCCAATTCAACATTTAAACTTAATAGATTCAGTTTTAATATGTTTGGATGCATTTGATAACAAAACATAAAACATCTAAATTAATTAAGTGATACTCAATTTTCTAAGCAAAATTTGCTCCAAAAAATAAGTGATAAACTATTCACTTATCACTTAATATGACATACACTCAAATATATCAGATTTAGTACTTAACTATTCCGTAACATAACGAATTAATTTAGTTTTCAGATTTTATTTTTTATCAAACACATCCTAAATTAAAGAAACTACTTGATGTACATAAATGCTAACTCCAAGACTTGGACGTAGAATAATTCAAAATGATTCTTGTCCCTTCAATTGAAAATCAATAGGAATATATGTCAACTGCACAATCAAAGTTGTATGCTTACCAAAAATTGATACCCAGATTGCATTGCAATGTTTTAGAATTTCTGTAAAATAATATACTATAACAATATAATATGTGTGAAATAAAAAGATAATTAAAAAATGAATCAAGAAAATGTTTCAAAAAATTTTCTATAAAATCTTACTATTCAAACAGGAAAAATTGTAGAATTGAAAGATGTATGTGCTAATAAACTTTTCTATGCTTGCCTAACATCTACATCATGTATCTTTGGGACAACATGACAATAACAGCAATATATTAAGAGTTAACTTTATATACTGACACTGTATATATTATCACGAATGGATGTATGACACATGAGTATAGGCCAAGACAGAGCTTGTGGCTGGCTTGCATCTTTGCCTATCAAGTCAAATCCAGCAACCACAAATTGCTATTAAGTAATAAAATATTTTGAAACTAATCATTTTTTGGGTCACTGTAATTATTTAAAACGTAGGTAAATTATACATTATTGAAATCTGATTAAATAACAACTATAGATTTTTTTTAACAACTATATAGATTTTGTTTGTCTGCACACCTTACTTTATGGATCTTATGCATTTTAGGCTTTTCTAAATCTCACTCATTTACTCCTTGTAAATCTTGGTATATGTTAAATACTTGCAAATCCCTAGTTTTCTGGATCTCGTCCATTTCTATTGTCCATATTGTCCTACACAATCCTATAAATGCATAGGTATTTTCTAAATCTTATTGTCAGTTATTTATTTCTCATGCATTGTCTTTCACCCCTTTCTAATTTCTACAGAATATGTCGACTGGCCAGGAGCAATGAGTTTTTCTTTTTCTTTATTGGATTTAAAAGAGACTTTAAGTCTTGTAAAGTACAGTAAATGTGTTTCGTTGAAGTGCTTTTGCATTTTTATTTTTTTATTTTTTGTATGCACGTTGATAACTAGACGAAGAGAAAGAAGCTGACTTTCCATAGTAGGAACAAATGCATCCACATTTGTTACTTGCTATGGACTTCTAATGGGCCTAAATGCTAAAGGATTATCTCAATCAAGCACCTTTGATGAAAGAAAGGTGCCCTTAATTTGAATGGTTTGAACGATCAGGATCTAGTTTAGCCAATCTAAAGTTTTTAATTTATTAGGACAGTTTAGATTCTTAATTTCAAGATAAGAGATTCGTGAAGTTGTACCCATATTACCATATCTTTCGATTAGAGTTATTGCATTTTAATTGTGATAGTAATTAAAAATATGAAACATTCCAAATGGTTAAACCTCAATGATAATGGTAATTAAAATGACAAATTCCTTATTAAAAGTATTTAGCGGTCCTTACATTCCATCTCCAATTCTTATGTGTGCGTCAAAGTTTCTTATCCGAAGAAATTTGTTACTCAAAATAGTGTAATTAATTGCATTAGACACAATTTCGAAATCGTAAAATATATTAGTATAAAAAATAGATGCTCTTGGAACAAAAGAGAAATATTAAAAAGAATTGATACGAATGTCACGAGACAAATGTATAATTATGTGCTTTTTGTTAATATGAAAAAGTACTGAAAGAAAAGCACAAGTAAAAGAATTCAACAAGTTGAATGTCAATTGACAACTAACCTCAATAACACTTAGAAAAAATGTAAATAGTCTTTTATTCAACAATTACTAACCCAATAACACAATTCCTTCCAAGGGGTAAAGGAAGGGATGAGTATGGTGAAAATAATTAGAATGACTGGAATCTAACAAGTCAATTTATTCACTCTAATACCCCTTTAGAAATTGATTTTTTGATTTAAGTCTTTACTTTGCTAATAATTATGAATTCTATTTATTAGACTTGCACTTGACATGTGCGTGTATTTCTTGTTTAACAACATCTTTTGTACAATATTTTTAAAAAATAATATTATGATTTAATGGTAAAAATACTTCAAAACATGAAGGTATATTTTCAAATTGTATACGTATAGACTGTATAGTGAAAGAGATGCATCACATCCAATCCTAAAAACTGATAGTACAATCTTTCTATTCAATTTGTAGAGAACAGAGATTTGTCAATGCAAACAACCTCTTTCCGTTTCAGAAGATTTTAATTTGACTGTCATTAATGTCTCTAGAGGAACGAACAATTGCAGAGCTGAGACCAGTTGAATAACAAAGTATAAGCATTTCGTTTCTTTGATTTTTCATTTTGATCAGTTTGAATAGTTAATCACTTGAAATGGAAACTAAAAGATGAAACAGCAAAAGAAAAAAGCTTTAGAATATTTATTTTCTTTAGACAGCCAAAAGTACCTTGGCTAATCTGTACTACTCTGATTCCAGCACAAAGAAGGAAGAGAAAAGTGTGTCTTGCATATAAGCTTGTGCTCAGCTAGTTATAAGCATCAAATCAAATCAATCTGTAGCAGCATTGAAGAAGATTTCGGGAATTGAGATTACAAACAGTGTGTGATAGATAGTGTTGGACTGATTGATGCGTGATTATGCTTGCCACTGCAGTCACGAAGTTGCAGCAAGCTGCATCATGTCATACCAAAAACTTAAGAGAAGTGGCTCTGTTTCTGAGGGACTTGGCTCAATTGAGTCTGTTTCTGAGCCACTTGATTCTTCCTCTGTTTCTGAGGGACTTGGCTCACTTGATAATTCTGTTTCTGAGGAACTTGATTCTTCTTCTTCTTCTTCTTCTTCTGAGTCACTTGATGTATAGCCAATATATTCAATTACGATCCTTAGAACTTCGTTTCCCATATCCATTTGTTCTTGTTGAATTTGCTCCACTGAACTTTCAACAGACTCACTACACCGTCTCACATTGATCATTTCGAGAGTCGGACATTCCCCTAGACAAGAGGGCACCTCATCCAACTTCGTACAATCATGCACAACCAATTTCTCAAGACGAGGAAAAATAGCAGAAGATGCAATCCAGCTGCAAAATTGCAAGCCAGACAATTTCAAGACTCGGAGGTTAGGGAACTCCCCATCTTTCATTTCCCATTCTTCCCCATCAAAGGAGCGATGGAGTAATTTAAGCACTTCAAGATTGGGCAATTTTCCAATTGTTGAAATTTCACTCCATGGCTGATGATTACGCGAGAGAGTCAACTTCTTCAAATTCAATGGGAATTTAAATCCATATCCAACAAAAAATGACAGATTGAGTGATTCTAGTTGACTCAAAGACTCAAACACGAGAATCCGGTCGCCAGTTCTTGTAGGATCTTCTCTTGATTCGCAGGATCTCGTGCATTTTAGCTTGCGGATGCTTGGAAACTTTGTCAGTATCTTTTGCAAGCTTTGAGAGGAGGGATCAATGGCAATGTTTAAAGTGTCTAAATGATCTAAACATGGTGATACTTCAAGATTTTCAACGGGAAAAATAAAACCAGAATCGTCACCTGTATATAGATGCCTCAATGTCTTAATGTTCCAGATAGTCTTTGGTAACCAACAATCCGCATCCAATCCCCGAGCCACTAAAGTTTGTAACCTTGAGAGGTTGTCTATTGCAGATGGGATGAATTTCATTCCTGCAATCTCAAGCCCCAAGAATCGCAAATGAACAAGCAATACTACTTCCATAGGAAAATTTGCAACAGAATCGAAGCCCCCCAAAATCAACACTCTGAGAAGTTTAGGTAACGAAGACTCCAAATCCAACACAGTAAGATCAAAACTTTGAATCAAGATCATGGTGCGTAAATTAGGAAAAGATAGCATTGCCTCCGGAGTCTTTAATTTCTTGGAATTTATGTCATAAAATCCACGGTAGGGGTTGCTTAGGCAGGTAAGACGACAAGGATCTTTCCCATGACGAAGGTTGTGTATAAAGTTTTCTTCTTTGATTTTTTGTACACAAAACCCATGCACCAAATCGTGAAGTCTGCAGGCTTTGGCACCGCCTGTACTTCCTCGTTCGGTAACCATAACTAAACTTCTATCAACCAGAGCCTTCAAGTAGTCGTTGGCCACATTCTCTAAGCTCTTTCCTTTAGTCTTTCGTACAAATCCTTCAGAGATCCAAAACCATGAAATACTGCGGATATTAGACATTTTGCCTTCTGAAAATGCACAAAAGTAAAGAAGGCATGACTTCAACTCATCTGGTAAATGACTATAACTCAGTTCAAGTGTCTTTCTACAGTATTCATCGTCAAGGACAATACTGGAAGTTAGACTCTTTGCAACTTCTTCCCAGTAATCTTCTGCAATATTAGTAAGAATTCCAGCAACAATGACAACTGTGAGTGGTAAACCCCTACAAAAATTTGCTATTTGAGATCCAACTTCAATTAGTCTCGGAGGGCATCCTTCTTTACCAAATAGCTTTTTCTGCAACAATTTCCAACTCTCTTCATCAGTAAGCTGCCGAAGATGGTGAGCATTGCAATCAGGACTGAATTGCAATTCAACTCTGCTGGTAAAGAGAATCCTGCTTCCATTAGCATCATCAGGCAGTGAAGTTTTCACCAAATTCCATGCCTCAATCTCCCACACATCATCCAAAATGATAAGATACCTATTTCTCTTCAAACGCTTGTACAGCATGTGAGCCAAATCAGCTTTATCCATCTCAAGATATCGATCAGGACTCTCAGAACAAATACTACACAAAAGCTGAACTAACAAACTCCGTATACTATATGCTTGAGAAACAGCACACCAAGCAATGATATGAAAGTGCCTCAAAATTAATGGATCATTGTAAATTCTATTGGCCAATGTTGTCTTACCAAGTCCACCCATACCCACAATTGAAACAAAATCCAACAGCTTTGAACCCCTGGTAAGCCTATCAATAATTGTCTTTACCTCATCATCGAGACCCACCACAATGTCATTCAACACTGGGGTGCTACGTTTTGACTCAACGTGGAAAGATTTCCGGTTAGTTCTCTGAGCTCCAGTGTCATGCCTCGTGCACTCATAGGTTTCAATCTCAGTCCTCAAAAGCTGGATATCTCTGACAACACCTTCCAAATATTCATGTTTATCACCAATCACAATAGAGTCAATGACAAACTCTGCCCTGTAAGCAACCTCCATAACACGACTCCAAAGAGCATGGAGTTTTCCATTCCGGTTGCGCTGGTCTACTATCTTGCCAAGAAAAGATCTTAAGAATACAAGATGATCTAGGACTGTGTGGATTTGATCATTTGGGAATGCAATTGAATCATCAGCCCCATTACAACTTTCCAGTTCAATCAGATTTTCAATGAGAAAATCCATAGAGCCCAACTCATTGGTCTTAGGAAAACCAAATGGCGATACTGATGTTACTGGATAAACCTGTGCAACTTCTGCCCTAACAAACTTGAGCACTTTGAGCAAATGAAAAAGAGCGACATCATTTTCCTTGGCCAAGCCTTCTTTGATCAATTGATTCACAGAAAGTGAGAAAATTACAATATTGCTGCATCACAGACCACAACTCCAATAAGAGTCTTCATTTCATGGCGTAGCTCTTTGAACTTCTCCGGATGCCTCAGAAGGGTTGTCAAGAATCTTAGCCCATCAAGGAGTTTTTGCATGTGAAATATAATCGGAACCAGAATACTGGTACAAGATTCTAGCAACTCCGTAATATTGTGAACAAGACAATCCACAAAGTCAACTACTAGATGCTTATTCTTCTCCAGAGCTGAAGTGTCTGATGATCTTGACAACTTTGAAGCAGTCAAGACATGGATATAAGTTTCTCGAACTTGTGGATCGCTGGGAATAATCTTCTCACCTATTAGTTGAGAAATTTGAAGTTCCGTTTCATTGCGTACTTCACCTTCTCTGTCAAACCACCATATAGAAATCAGGCGTAGTGCATTGATAGCCACCACTTCAGCGTGAATTAACAGATCTATCAATTGCTGACCCTGAAGCATGGCAAAGCGAATGAAACTTTTCCAGAACATTAGCTTCTCTTTAAGGGTTCCGAATACGTTCCTTTCGCGGAGTTCCGCCAGATTCTTTGAAACCGAATCAATGAAATCAATAACTAGTTCTGGTTCTCTCAGCCAGTAACAGCCCAGCAGAAAGTTGATGCACGATTCCTTGATATCTGTCTCGAAAAACAACTTTATTGCTTCCCGGAATATGGTGAGCTCACTTTTGATTCGAGTCAAACCAGGTAAACGAGAATGAATCAAGTATTCGCTGCAAGCAAATACAAGATCTGGCATTCTTCTTTTAATCAGATTTTGAATTCTGAAAGAAGTAACATCCTTCTCCTCCACGTCTTGTTCCAAACAGGTTTCATGGTTCCTCCTCCTCCTACACATTCTCAGATACAGATCAAAGGTTTGTAACAGCCTCACCTCTTTCTCCAGGTTCCAGATATCAAAACACAACTCATGCTCCAGGGTCTTATTCATCCAGCCCAGATAATCTAGAGCGGAATCAAAGCAATCAGTGCTACTACTGGAGGATATCTCCACCATTGTATCTTCTCTTCACTCTGAGATCAAATTTGTATATTGAATAATAAACTCAGTTCAAGGTTTACAACTTTCTGATTATCTGAAAATTGTCAAATTGGCTGGACTCTTTTTTTTTTTTTTTTCTTTTTCTGTTGCAATTTGCAAAGACTCTTTATCTTGTCTAGTTGTCTTGGTGGATACTTTTTTCTGCTTTCGGCCTAAACGAGTCAGCTTTTGTCTACTTTCGGCCAAAGTGCATTCCCAAATATTGGTAGATATGACACCAAATCGGGGCAAACCTGCATACTAAAGCGGCCGTAGTAAATGGTTGTAATACGTACTCGTCATTTTCGATATCTACACGAAATTGTAAAATAGGGAATATAATACTAAAGCAGTAAATAGTTATATTTTCACCAGAATGTAAACACAATACTCAAAACTGTTCCGTCAATATTTTCCAATACTCAAAACTGCTCATAATTTCCGTCAATGCCATCGTCAATATTTTTTCCCTTTCTTTCAATAGTGTACTTAAAAAGTGAAACAATATGAAGATAACAAGAAATGACATGCCCAAATAGTAAGCTATAGGAGCAACCTCTCCCAAATCGGAAATATGATCTAGACTCTCAACTTGCAATTGTTGCTGCAATAACAATTTGATGGTTCGTAAAATCCAAACTTAGCTAAGGTATCAGATAAATTAAGGAAGTTGATTGCGTTAAAAACTGAAGCTTGAAGAAACGTACCTTTAAAGGTATCCTAAGATGCCACACCCTTTTAAATATAAAAGATGAATTCTAAGTTGGGACTAAATTTTACTGACTAATTTGATTTTGTAAAGAATCTGCAAAATTGCCATTTTAAAAGTGAAGAGCAAAAAATTTCATTTGAGGAAATGTGAGGACGTTTCGAACAATTTTCCCTTTCATAAAAATAAACATCCATGCAAAATCTTTCCAGCAAAAATTTGACATATTTCACCTCGCAAAATTATATGTCTCAAAACATCAAAAAGTGAAAGACCGGGATAAATTGTATTAAAAAATCTCTGAGTAAGACCCAAATGCTTGGTTGAACACTCCCTTAAAATTTATATAGCAAGTACAGTAACTACAACTCCCTTAAATTCTCAAGGATAAGAGACGTCACAATCTTCTCAAAGTTGGCTAAACACTAAATTGATGGAATCTGATGTATATAAACGCTAACTCGGAGACTTGGATATAGAACAATTCAAACAAGTCTTGATCCTTCATTGAAAATCAAGAGGAATATAAATCAACCGCATAATCAAAGCTATGTGCTCAAAAAAATATATCCTATCTCAACTGCAATTTATTAGGAATTTTATAAAAAAAATATACTTTAACAATGTGATATATGCAAAATAAAAAATAATTAAAAATGTATTAAAAGAATAATCTAGAAATTTTTCTATGAAAACTCACAATCTGAACGGAACTTATGATTTATAGAGTCGAAATACTTACTTGTTAACAAATCCTTTTGTGGTTGCCTAACATCTATATCTTGTATTGTTTTGGAAAATCTGAATCAGAAGGAACATATTAATATAAGACCCTGGGACTTCACAACCTCAACCCAAGTCACTGAAACAATCTGAAACGAGTCTCCTTTCTAGGATAATTTACCCCATTCACATGATCAGGCCAAGATAGAGCTTGTGGCCGCAATTGTCTCACATCTTTACTCATAATGTCATATCGTGGTAAGTTATACATTATTTTTTTAAGGGAGTTATAAATTATTTTGAATCCAATCTTTTGTTCACCGTAGTTATTAAAAGTGCTAGTAAATTATACATTATTAAACCACTGGGATTGGTCTAGTAGCAAGGCGAGCACTCTTAGAATCTTCCTAGTTTCTAGATTCAAGATTCAAATATTGTGTTTAGCGGTCGAGATTTGGAAGTGTAGGAAGGATTCAAATCTTGTATCTGATAATTAAGGGTCAGAAAAGTGTGAGAAGGGGTGAAATGGTTAAAATTATACATTATTTGATGCGTATATTAAACGAACTAGAAGTATTACTCAAATTTGATTCGTTTATTTGTACAAATATTCAAATTTGAGTTCAAGCCCAACTTATTGAACTAAGAGCAAAATTTGAGCTTGAATTTGAGCTTGGAGATGATTTAATTATATTTTTAATAAATAATACATTATTTTAAAAATGGGTAAATTATATTTTACCCCCCTGTGGTTTACCCTTTTTTTACATAACCCCACTATGGTTTCAAAAGCTATACATAACCCCCTCATGGTTTGGATTAAAGTGTCAAAGTAACGGAAATAGTCACTCGTAACGGAACTTCTAAAAATGTCGAAATTACCCTTATAAATACATGACACATTAACCCCCTATGATTTTTATATTTTACCATATAACCCCCTTATGGTTTAATATTTTACCATATAACCCCCTTATGATTTTCAAAATATACACATAACCCCCCTTGGTTAATACATAAATTTCAACCTTGCATAAGGGTATTTTTGACATTTTAGGTGACGCCGTTACGAGTGACTACTTCCGTTACTTTGACACTTTAATCCAAACCATAAGGGGGTTATGTATAGCTTTTGAAACCATAGGGGGGTTATGTGAAAAAACGCTAAACCACAGGGGGGTAAAGTGAAATTTGCCCTTTAAAAAAAGTTTAATTTTATTTCTTGATTTTAGAAAAAATAAAAATATTAATTTATGTACAATTAAGTTTTTAGTAAAATATAATATAGTATTAAATGTATTTATATATTTTTATAATTGCATATATGTTTGCGAACTATTCAGGTTCGTGTTCAACTCGATTACTAACTGAGCCTAATATCGTGTTTGAATTCAATTTATTTGTTAAATGATCGAACTTTTTTCAAACATGAACAAGTCGAACAACATGTTCGTGAACAACTTGTTTTGTTAAAAGCTCTAATCACCAATGTCCATTCTCAAATGACTTATGGTTTGTTCACGATTGATTATTTCAACTGATTATAGATTTTGATTTAAGATAATCAGTTTTTGTGATGTTCTAAGTTGCTTTTGTTTCTGATTGTAAATTTTTTAATGATAAAAAAGTTAAAATCTATAATCACCCAAAGAGGTCATTTGATGATTTTGATTATTCTCTATATATAATCAATTTCCATAATTGATTTTGTAAAATCTAAAACAAGCGAGAACAAGGCCTCAACATTGTCTTGCATAATCCTAGAAGCCTACGTATTGTCTAAAGCTTGTTGTCAGTTTTTCATTTGCATGCATTGTCTTTCCATCACGGTCAGGCAAAAAAGGACCTCATTCTACTTTCTAAAAACATATATATCTACTGGCCACAGGCAACGAGTGATATTTTTCTCTCTCTCTCTGTGTGTGTTTTCAAGAGAGACTCAAGTCTTACCAGGCATGTACCATAACCGTTTTGGCTGA